TGACGTTTTCTTGCTGCCTATCATTAAGCGCATGTTATACTCTTCACGGATACGAGGATTGCGAGTTACTGAGGGTGAAAATGACGCTGTCGAAACGCGATCGAGGGAAGCGTTGTCGAAGGGCTTTTGCTACGAAGTTTCGGGGGTGTGAATAACAAAAACTCGCTATGCAATGCAAAGATTCACAGAACAAGAGCGATCGCCAAGGCGAAACTTTGTCGAAAATCCCACGGTTCGACCACTGGTGTAGAGGCAGTAGGACTTGCTGCCAGGATTAAAAGATGAGCTGAAGAAAGCATGGAAGCGATCGTGCGAGTCATAAACGAGTGAGCGGTTGGACTTTCGCAAGGAGCTCCGTTCCCTTCAAAACCTTAAGAAATCCAACTCTTAAGAAAATTGTCATAAGCAAAAGGAATAGCATGAACGCTGCGCCATCAGCTCCTCCGAATTTAGAAACAATTGTCTGCCGGAATCGTGTAAAAGATGCCAAACGACATTAGGGGTTTTTGAACGGTTTCTGACTGGCGACAGTATGACTGGACCTAAGAGAATACTGATCTTAAGGCACGAACGGGAACCTGCAAATCTTGCGTGATGGAGATAGAACATTTCGACTTGCGTCGCCACTGTTTTCGCAATTTATACAGTACTGGCCAAAGCAAGTTTGTTCATGTCCATCGTGTTGTATACGCGCTTTTACCAAACAAGCAGGCGACCACGTACAGCGTGCTCTTTCAGATGACTGGTAGCAAAGCTACATCCGGATTGGACACCTTGCCATTTCGAAATTGTACCACTGCACGCGATGAAGAGTGCCTTCCCACGTGCTCAACCTCATGATTGTTTTGATTTTCTGAATCATACAATGAAGAAGCATTTGGAGGAACTATGTCTGCTTCACGCTGACAACACCCGACGCTAATTTTGCCCTGAAAGCGAGGATGATCACAGCGTTCGTGTTTGTACCTATCGCCGAACCAGATCAAACGATTGACAGACTGGCGATGGAACGGCCCAATGAACTGCAGCTGTTCGAACAGTAGGTAGTTCGAAGTCAAATGCGTCGCACGATTGAACCCTAGAGAAAAGACCAAATGTCAGGCGTTGTTTTCATCAGAAATTTGATCTGTTTATCGTATGGATGATCAACAGTGAAACAGTACGAATAACCGTGGGACAGGCGGCCCATCTACGAATTCAGACCAACTTGGGAATGATACGCCCTCTCTATGTGGAAGTTAACTGATGATCTCTGCAAAGGGCTGAAGGGCCGGGAAATATAATGCGAACAAGTTGCTGCCGATAATAAGACACCAGTCAGTTGAAGAAATATTGGGACACGAATGAGATAATAAAGTATTTTCTGAATTACTGTCATAATATAGAAATTATTACTCATAATCGTGGATTGGCCCATAAATATGAAACGGTGTAATGATATTGAAATTCTTTACATGACAGGAAAATTAATTTTTGTTTGAGCTTGCCGTTGTTCGATTTCGACCTTTTTATTCCCTACATGATGAAAGATGTTTTATGAAAAAATTGATCACATCATCATCTGTTTCTAGTTAACAGTTTGTCAGAACACAATGAGTGATAAATGGCTGAATTAGGTGAAAACAGCATAGACGAACTGTCAGCTTAGCTCTACGTATAAATGATGACAAAGGTTACGCATTACGATCAGAGAGAGCCTTTCGCTGATGTGGAACATGATGAAATTTATTACAAAGCAAATAAATTCAAATAAGCAAATATTAATGTCAACGCTGATGAGCGTTGATTTAATGAGTTAAAGCAATTGTAAAAATGAAATAGATACTTCTATGGAAAATTTTATACCGTACTCAAAAGGAGCTTTCGGTCGATGTATAACTGATACAGATGGCCACCAATGACTACACGCTGACTTACCGATCTGAAGCAGTCACCAAGATGGAGTCATAAAACAAAACGAAAATTATGGACAGTCATCACACTAGATTCGCAGAGAGCCTTCCATCAATGAGCAACATGAGAGATCAAGTGAAATTATTGATACAAAAAAGCCATCTGCCAATGATACACATTAAAACACCTGAGCGCAGGACAGCGTATTAGTTTACTGTATTGCATAGTTATGATAATGGAATTATAATCAGAAATACAAATGATGACAACAGCATCTTACTTCACTCACAGACAGCTTCCCATTGATACATACGATGATGGGATAAATCAAGTAATTGATGCAGCCAACCACTGCCCAACTATATAGATTCAATGCGGCGAAGACAGAGGCGAACGCGTACAGCAACCAGAGGTCATTTTCAAAACACTGAGCGCCAAAATGTTCCATTCCGTATTAATTGAAGCAGAGTTCATGGAGTCATAGACCGTAAGTAATACCCTCAACATTCAAGAGTTAAAGACCTTACGCACACATTGAAGCCGCCCCAGGGTAAAGACTGCGCCTGCAATTTTGTTGTCATTTGCCAAGGCTGTCAAAGCGACGGTTTCTAGGTTGTCTGACTTGTGCATCTCATACTGTGCCCAAATATTTATCCTACTCAGCTTTTCTGAATTTTAATTCAGTTCGGTCCGATGCGAAGAAACGTCATCGTCAGTTCAGAAGATGGAGGACATGATGAGGAACTTTCACCGTTTTTCCATTGCCAATCAGCTGTTTGAACATTTTTTCCTAATCATCCTGTGCCTTAAAGCCTCGAGGTGATTTATTTATTCGTGGCTTTTCAGGGGATCGATTGGAAGCAAGGTTTCTTTGTTTTTGCTGCATTGACTGGCAAGAGCATTTTTCTTCAGCAGGAAGATAAATTTCGTTTGTGATTAGCATCAGATGGTGAAAAAACACGGAAGGAAGTGCTTTGAATGAAGAAACAAACGGAAAAGAAAGCAGCGCTTTCGTCACAGTTGATTATTCGTAGCTAATTTCTCGCTCTGCAAAATTGCTGAGATCAAGGCAATTGTTTACCCCTGAATACTTAATGTTCAGTACGAATTTTCCAGTACTCAATGGCTGTCATTAGCTACCTGCAATTTAATTAATGCAAATTAAGCATTGACGTAAACAACTGAACAAAAGTCGAGCATTTATAAAAATTTATGCCTCTCGACCTCAAATATACTATGCTTTGCTTCACTAGCATGGCGGGATGATCTTAATCATTGATACCAATGACATGTTACTTATTATCATGGGTGAGTATAGTTCGAGGTTTAAAATTGATTAACGAGCGTGCGAATCAATCATTGAATGAATGAACGAACAAGTACACCAAATTTGTTGCATTTCTCCTTTTTGTGCCTCCAGTAACCCAGAGTATGCAAGGACAAATATTGGTGGCATAAGACGCTAAGGTAACCTGGTTCGACCAGACTGATTACGAACTTTGAACAGAGTGGTTCAATTGGTAGAACAGCAGGTCGTTGGTTCGACCGCCTGTCTTGTTGTTTGCTTTACACCCGCTTTAAGTAGGTGTATAGCAATCCCGCAACAAACGACTATGCGATGCAGAAGTAACCTGGAAAAAGTTATCAGAGGCAATTCTAAACTATTGGTTTATAACACAGCAGCAAAAGACTTCCGTGCCATACTCTATGAGAGGAAGTCCCCCACGAATCGTGATTTGAATCATGAAAAACTAAAATGGATTGACATTGCAAAGGTTTGAAACTGTCCTTTCCCTTTCCTTAAGATAAACTGTGCGAGCAGCAACATGGTTTTCCTGCTTGCTCAAGGCAAAAGTCGAGACGACAGGGAAACACGGCTTTGAAACTGTATGAATTTGCTCCCGATCAGAGGTGTTACAACGGCGCGATAAACCGCATAATAGAATGTGAAAGACGGCAGCCTTTCATGAAAGTAATGGGGAGGGGGCTGTCATTTCAATGGTAAAAAATTTATGGTTTTTCTTCTGCTTAGCCAAAAGACGACAGTCTGACTATGAACCCGGAAAAGCAGCATTACGGCTATCCGACTAATTCACAAAGAATGCATGACAGTATAGCTCATCGCACTACGATCTGCCTTGGGTGAACGGAGAGTGGCAACTCTTGAGCCAGGCTAACGGAGGAAGCGAACGCTGATTAATGGATGATGTTCGAAAATATCTTTCTTGTCGCTTGATCAGAACTAAAAATGCACAGCATTTACGATGTAGATTTATGGCGGCATCTCTTTGAACGGAAAATGACATTTGTCGCTGCCTACCTCTTCCCTCATGCTCAGGCCATTCAGACAGAATTGATTAGGCTAATTTTTTGCAGCAGCTTTTGCTGATGTCATCGTCAAGCGTCGTTACAATCCATCAGAATTCGTCGTCTATAACGCGATAAGTTCCACATAGACATTTCTTCTTTCAGATTATTATCATTAGCCGAAACCTGTAATAAATATATTCTGCTCATGGTGGGATTAACTTAAAAAATAGACCATTAAAAATAGGCCATTCTATATCTACCATAGACGTCTCGGCAATCGTTGCCAAATCTAAGGTGTACCTTCAAGACTAGAAGGGTATGATGAGCCAATACAGTTTTCTGTTCTTCGACTTTTCATGGGATCGTGAACTGTAACATTTGACATGTTCCCAAATATACAATTTGAGTATTGAGCGCTGCAGTCGAATTGAACCTGCCTGCTTCGTTTGCGTTTCGTTTCATTCGCTTTTAACTCAGGTATATAATCGTCTTCCACCGAATTCTTAACTCCAGCAAGCAAGGGGATTTTTTTGCCATATCCTCTGTAGACTGAGTGAATTCATCGTCCGTCAGTTGCTGTTTCTCCAACCTTGAACAAAGGAGATGTTTTCTGTTGCTTGACTTGATTTGTTGCTGAGGCGTGATTTTCCGCAGCCCTCCACCGCGCAATTTTGCCAATCGATATTCACCGTTGCCTCGTCGGCTACCGAGTTTAACGTGAGTGTAAACAACGCAGTTTCATTACCATCGTTCATCAGCTAATGAAAATTCATATTTAATATGTTCGTAGTGCTTCTTTAGACAAAATCGTCCGTGGTCAGTGGTCGTGAAATTCTGAACATCGTCTCCGAACTGGTCGCTGGGCCGGTGCGGGAGTTCGTCTGTCGACGGTAAACACTCGTCGATCCCAACCCGTCGTGTGCATCGGCAGACAGTTGCCGGGAGCCGTGCTTTCCGCTGTTCAAACACAGCCAGACGGCCGCCGATGCAACGGTCCTGAAGCATGCATCGGGGCCGACATGTTGGACTGGAGCACACATTCGCAGTACCTGATTCCGTTGAATGAGCAGTGTCCAGTAAAAAAACGAAATGTTTTGCTGTTTCACTCGTCGTTCAGACGTACGATCTGTTTTCAGGCGAC